ATGAGATAATGGCAGGAACTTTACAAGCTGTGTACCAGTATATTTGGAGTTTTTAGCCCACTGATCCTAATCAAGTTTGCAGTTACAGCGCGCTACTACAGACTTCCAACATGCCTCTCACTAAATTGAAGACATAACACCTAGTGTGTTTGGGTTTGTTTCAGGGCCTATCCTCAGCTGAACCATATGGTAACAGCTTCAATTGAAAAATAGGTGGAGACATCAATATAATTTGCTAATACATGACAAAATGTTCTTGTCATTGTAAAGCTTATGTATTATTAGCCTTACTTATAACCCCACTCTTATCCAGTTGCAAAAAAAAGGCGTGTATGGTACGCCCTAAAAATGAGGTACACAGGATCACTATCGCTGGCAAATCCATTGTATGTAATAACATTATTGTTACATTGTATGGCATTTTCCCTGCCTATTTACAGGCTCTGCTCGTGTATGTGTGTTCACTGAATGGGAAGAGAGAGGCTTGTGAGCTGTCTTCCAGGTGATAAGCAGATAGTTCACATCTCATACGCCAGACATGCAACCCGTGCTAGTTTCTATTTCACTCTAAATTAGAAAATTGCTTGGGTGGCGCAAATAGACCTGAAACAGGCAGGCAGGAGAAAGCATTATTCGCCCTTCTTCAGTAATCACCATACTTGGGAACGTTAAAGGTACCTGCACACCTTTGCTGTGTGCTGCGGGACATTATCACATGCATACTAATATGTTTTCTAATATGTTTTATGCCGCATGTTAACATGCATTGCATTAAGGCAGCCCATTCGTTTTAAGTGGTCTGCAAAGGCTCTCCAGTGCATTAAAAAAAAAGACCTGACCCTTTATTCAGTGTTACAGCGCACCATAACAGCAGTGTTATATTTTTTTAGCTGTTTGTGTCCCCGCTGGGAAGAGTCAGCCTCACTATTAGTCCTGGTGACCATTTTTTCTATCACAAGAACAGAGGTGAGAAGAAATCTTCCAATCAGAAAATCTTTTGCGGTGACTACATTTCTATGAAGGAAAATTATCTTGCTTTAGATAGATCTTATTTTATTTATTAACCGCTTGAAGACCAGGTGTTTGGACCCCCTTCCTGGCTAGGTCATTTTTCAGTGTTCAGCGCTGACTGACTTTGACTGACATTTATTCCGCCATGCAACGCTGTACTGAAATTAATTTAATACCATTTTTGGGGGGACAGATAGAGCTTTCTTATGGGGGCATTTAATCACCACTGGTGGTTTTATTTTTTACTATATTCAGGAGAAATTACTGAAAATTTTGGGGAAAAGGGGGTGGGGCGCACGTCACGGGACCTTATACAAGCGATCTGCCGGCTCTATAGCCGGCGGATCGCTTGTATATTAACGGGCATCGCTGCCTGTTTTCAAATGACGGGCATTTCCCGCTCGCGCGCGGCGCGCCCGACCTGGCGGATGTAACAGGACATGGAATATGGGTAGCAGGGGATTGCCTTGATTTGCTCTGTCTTTGTGAAGACGCACACCACTTACTAGCACACATAAGGGTGTCTCCATAGGACCATGCAAGGGAAAAGACCCACTCTAAAACAGGATATCTGGGCCAGTGCTCCAGGGACCAGCTGATTCTGCAGGAAACTAAAACTTTAGAACATCAAGGAACTGCATCCATTGTAAGTGATTCAATCAGCATTTGAAATAGCTTGAAAACCGTTTGACTATAATAACACTTTTAAGCACTCGAGCTCCCGAACCCTGCCAATCCCCATTTTTCACCAAAAGCGGAGGACTTCTGTAGGGACAAGCATGTTAAATAGACAGCTAGAGAAGCTTCCCTCTTCCTTTGCCAACCAATGTTATTTGCTTGCCTATTTTGACGCCCCTACTCCAAATAATCCTCCTATACAAGGCCTGATTTAACAGGGTATCAGAAACGTGAACTGTGGCTGTTGCTCATCAGGCAGTCATATTTTCCCTGTCATATTCAGTAACATACAGTATATAGTTGTTGCAAAGAATGCTTGCAAAGCTAATAAACATAGGATGCGCTTCAGAGAACCATTAGTATTGTGTGGACGGTCTCTTTAATGGCTAAAGGATGATTATGCAGCATTACTGTAGATTTACCATGGTGTCAGCCAGGTGTATCATTCAGTGTGCAGAATCTGCCCCCAATGTCCCTATACAAACCGGTGCAACGGCAGTCAGTTTATTCACAATGATAGCATATTAACGTAGGCTCAATGCAACTATGGAGATAGTGGGTATTATTCCCTGGCTGATACCTGTCATCTACTTTCTGATTATCTGCTGCAGGATACTATAATTATGTGCTCTCCTTCTCAGTCATCCTATTATCTATTGTAGCATATGTCGGCTAACACTATAATCTGTTTACCTTGTAGTGCCCCTTTAATGGGATAATTGATTATATGCCTCCTCACTTCTAGGTACACTCTGCTGATGTCAGTCATTTCACAGGTTTTATATATCGGCTAGAAAGAACTGTTTTACTTGCAGGAAAAAGACATAGGCTCATGCAAATGCTGCAGCTCTGCTGCTACTTCATTCATAATAAGCAAAAAAAACATTAGCAGCTAACAAGTAACATTTGTTCTTTGCAAAAGATACCAAATAATATCTGTGGAGAGGTTGAGCCACCTAAAACAGAACCGATACATAGCCGTTCCTTCGAAGCAAAAACATGTTGTACCTTTATTGTTGCCCTATCAATAACTTTACAGGTTTGCATTAATACATTCTACAAATGTTACAGCATGCAACATTATCGTTTCAAAAATAAAACGGATACATTTTATCATTAAAAATCTTTAATTTGAGTCATAATATTGTGTCTAGGCATGAGAGGTGGAAGTTAGTAAAATTATGTAATACATCTGCTGCAGAAGAGTGACCATTTCACCAGCTTGCCCTCTTGCAGTCACCACTCACATAGACCGTACACTGTTACTTTTTAAGTCTTCTCCAGACTCCCAGCTTTTTTCTCTTTTGACTCCTCAAAAGTGTGATTTCTTCTTTAAATCAGTGTAACCCATACATTTGATTACAATTATGCTGTGCAGAGCAGCACAACAGCATACATTCTGCTGCTGCTCTCCACGTGTTAATGGCGCAGAGGCTACACTATTTATAGCAGCGATCCACCAATTTGCATGTTGCAAAAGTTTAGCTCTCCAGCTGCAGAACTGTGCAGACTTAGTAGAAGTATTAGTCAGCAATACATTTACTTCTACCAGTAACTGCACGTGTTTCTCTGCTTGTGAGGAAATCTGAAACTTTGCATGAAATCACATGAGGTTAGAAGTTATGTTGCACAATGATCATTCATAATCTTTATGTTTTTACTAAAAGGCAAAAACCAGTATGCATTTTAGCTGGCCATAATATCAAACATTATTTTGCTTTTACATTGAATTACTACAAAAATCAACGCGTGAAGTAACAAACAGCCTTTTTTAAGAGATAATTGACAGTGAAAATGATATCTGACTAAAAACGTCTTGCATTTTATAGGAAAATATCTCTCATTCAAGTGGAAGGTGTGAGAATGACAATTGTCCAAACTGTTGATATGATCTTCTCACTGCTTAAAGGAAAGTGGAGACCAGATCTGAAATCTGTGTTTAAAAAAATTGCTTCAATAAAAAAAATTACAAATCTTCAACTCTGTAGTATTTCCCAGTCATTGGGGGAAATTACAGATTATCTCTTAGTCACTGGTACAAACAATATCCTGTCAGCATTGGTACCGAGTTTACAAGGCCCTGAAATTGAACAAGATAGGCGTTTCATCCTGTACCTGTGCAGAATGCAGCTAAAATCCACAGAGCACTGAAATAAAAGTGAACAGGGTCCACTTGTATCTTATTCTAATCATTTTGAATAATGCAGTTTATTTCTTGGGGCTCAAAATACATTTGGGTAAAATGTCACGGTTTTACATCTTTATAAGCTGATTAGTAGCTCTAATGTTACAAAAGATTTGTAATGAAATAAAACAATCTTGTCACATCTTTTCGCCCTGATGAAGGGTCCCTTCATCAAGCCCCGAAACGTTGGCTTTTTTTCATTGTGACAATTTGTTCAAATAAATGGACATATTGAATGATATTACTGAGTGCTGGTGATTCTTTTCTTCTGCTGGATGGTGTGATCAGACATTAATGTACCTTGACTTTGAAGTTCAGCATGTATCTCTGTGGAAGTTTTCCTTGACTCTTTGTCTGCCATTTGCACAATCCTTCTGTTTAATCTGGTGTCATCTTTCCTCTTGTGGCCATGTCCAGGGAGGTTGATTGCACTCCCATGAATCTAAAACGTCTTGATAATATTTGCAACTGTAGTCATGGGAACACTAAGCTGCCTGGAGATGGGTTTATATCTTTTAATGTGTATGCTGGTCTTTAATTTTCTTTCTAATCTCCTTAGACAACTCTCTCCTTTGCAATCTGCATTTTGCAAACAGCAAAGTGACAACTTTTCCTAATTTCAATGGGCTGACTGACTAAATGAAGACATGTGTGCTACTAATTACAGAAAACAGTTTAAAATATCACTGATCATTTATAATCTTTTCTAGGGGTATCAACAAATCTGTCCAGGCCATTTTAGAATATCTTGTAGAATAAATAATTTGTCTTTTGATGTACCAAATACATGCAGTTAGACATGAGACAATTGCCTTCAATTGAATCACTTTTCAGGAAGAATGAAGCATTGTTTCAGTAAGCTGGAGGGTATCAACAAATTTGTCTTGTAAATAAGAAGTAACTAAAAATGTTTTCAAGTGTTTGAATAATTGCATAGGCCAGTGGCGACTGGTTCTTCTTCAGTGCAAGTTAGTGAAAGTATCATCAATCAGATTAGTAAGAGTCTTGCTAATTTTTTCTATATAAAACAAAATGTTTTATTTGCCTCTTGCATCAAAAGAGAATGAGTGTGTTTTATAATTGATGTCATTCACATATATTAAACGTACCTCAACTTGCCTTCTAGGTAATCACATGGTCTGGAACTTATGACCCAGGAAGGGAAAGGACCAAGGTAATCCGTTTTTTAAATATAATTACAGTATCTGATCGTTTGTATTTTTTGCAATGCATTCCAGATAAGACAGCTTGACAGCTGTGTCTGAATTATTACTGCAATGTGGCTCACGCTGAATATTGCAGGGTTTGACAGCTAGCATCGGCTGATTGATTCCCATTTTGAAAAAGATTCAATGTGAAAATATTTGGCATTTCCCAATAAGGTGATCACACTTTTAGCAAGGTAATCTCATCAGCTCTGTGGAGTTTGGTGCTTTGGGCAATAAGACAAGTAAGTAACATTGCTTTCCTCTCCCATGTTGAATGACACCCAATGTCATCCAACCCCCATATTGTGAGCTTCCTGGGACCACTTGGGATCACAGTATTCCTGGACAGAATGGTAATCATACATCATTACATAAGTTCCACACTGTCCAGGAGTTAGAGCCACCCATTGCTGCTGTCCAAGGAGAAGGGGAAGGAACCATGATGTCAGCAGACGCCTGAAGGATTTAAGGTACCCATAACGGAATTTTAAAAATGGTGGAAGGGGCCTGGGGAAGTGGATTACATAAAAAGATGGATTTAGGATTTAAACAGTTCTCAGATGCTGTTGAAAGTTTATATCCACCAGCCTCTTGCTTTACTAAAATAACTCACACCTCACCTGTCCCTGCCAGAATATTTTCTATCCAGGTGAACCGCCTTTAGCCCTTCATGTTATGCAGCTGGATTTCACATGGAAGCAGTAACAGCTTTCTACATAGACATGAGACAATAAGGACAAATTGATTTTGGCCAGTTTGCTTTGTCTGCTATTCAAACTAAAAGATTCATACAGGTACAGTGAAATTTTAATTGTGTTTTCTTGATCGTACGATACAGGACACACGCAGTTTCAGAGATGACTGCGTAATATGCAGGTATTATCAGGTGATTAGACACTGGCCAGAGCTGTGAGGACCCTTATATAACCCCTCCCTCTCCCGGAAATCCTCTGTTTTTTGCTAGTGTCCTTAGGTGATGAATGTCTCCTTTCTATTAAGGGAGATATTTGTAGTTTACTTATCTTATTACTGCAATTCTGCTCCCAAGTTTGACTTTTTGGGACTGCACACAGATGGAAGATGCAGGGCTGGCCTATAATGTCACTTTGGGCACTGGATCCTGTGTTAGGTTCCTGATTCCAACTTGGCATGTTGTAGGGTGCTTTACAAGTCTAGAGCAATGGCAGATTTGCACTGGCATGATCCTGTCCCTGAAGACCCCATTGATGGTAAGCTCATTCGAAGTTAGTGAAACTGAGGATTGGGGGGCTCCCCTTCCCTTGTTCGGAGGTCTGGCGCTGCCTGGTGGGTGATTCTAAGCCCCTTTCCCGGGTACCCCTGGTCTCCAAGGCTTAGGCCACTGCTGGCCCTTTAAATTTGGACCGCTTTCTCTTATGGGCTTTTCTGGCCTTGCTACTCCTCAGGCTTCTTCACCCGCACCTCTGAGTACTTATATGTTAAATGTTGCAGAATTGTGTGCTACCCCCATCAGTCCTGGGCACATATGGGCATGCAGTGGGCACCTATGTGACCAGCTGGGGGGGGACTTCCCCCCCAGCTGCAGTGGACAGACTGAAGCCATGTTGCTTCATCTGCACTGTTGTGCCTGTGCAGTACAGTGGCCATCTTTGTACACCCCTGCATGACCTGAGCACATGCAGTTATAGGGACAGCAGCAGCCATCTTGGACTTCTCGGTGACCGGTGAGAGGGACCCTCATTAACCATTAGGTGCCTGTCTGTGAGTTCACTATTGGGGCCCCTCATCATGGCAGATTCAAAAGACAAAGGTACATGGGAAACAGGGTTAGCCAGCTCCACAGCTACTGATGGGCTCTGGGGGTTACCTGAGGCTTTCCCTGGACTCTCTTCCAGATTGTCTGTCCATTAGCCCACTGTTTAACTCGCTGTCCTCTTCTCATGCACCTGTTGCCCTCTCAGAGGTGGCACATTGTTCATGCCTTAGCAAGGAAGATTTTGTGGCCTTAGTGACTGTTTTTATTAGTCAGATCTCGACTTTGATCGATTCATCTGGCTGCAGAGGGCACAAATATAGTCCCCCTTCTCCTTCTAATTAACTGTCAGATGTGGTCATCGCTACTACTTTATTGCCATACGAGGAGGAGAGAATTGCTGGGGTTTTACTCCAATCTGTTAACGGTTCCAATACCGAACAGAGGGGTGTATCCCACCCTAGACTTAAAGTCTTGCTTGACAAGTTTCTGTGGATCTGCAAGTTCTGCATAGAATCGGCATGATCAGTCATCGTCTCTCTTCAGCAGGGAGTCTTTTTTGCATTGGTGGATATTAAGGATGCCTACCTCCGTGTGCCAATCTTCCCGTCGCACCAACAATTCCTGCGTTATGCCATGAGGGAAGTACACTTCCAAATTATGGCACTTCCCTTTGTACTCTCCATGACTCCACAAATATTCATTAAGGTGTTCGCTCCTATTCTTGCACTATTGCGCTCTCAGGCTGTTCATATTGTGGGATGCTTGGATGAACTCCTGATGAAGGCCTGATCCAAACAGACTCTGAGGTGAATATCTCTAGGACAATATGAACACCACAGCATTTGGGGTGGGATACCAATCTCCAGAATTCAACACTGGATCTCACTCACTGTCTAGAATACCTGGGTCTTCTAGACAGGAACCAGATGTGGGTGTGTGAGTTCCGTCTGTGCATTCACTGGTGCGGGCCCTACAAGCTGAGAACGAGCCCTCAGCAGGATTTTGCATGAGGGTCCATGACCTGATGGTGGCCTCCATCAGGTGAGTACCATACACTCAGTTCCACTTTAGACTGCTGCATGTGAGCATTCTAACTGCGTGGAACAGACAGACTTGCTCTTTTAATCTCCCCGTGTGTCTGTCAGCCAAAGCGAGACTCTCGCTGGCTTGATGGATCTCCAAGGGAAGAGACAGGGAAGTCCTTCCTCCCACTGCAGTGGACGGCACTGATGAAAAATGCTAGTCTGTTGGGCTGGGGAGGAGTCCTGTATCAAGAAAACAGAATTTTTGACTTACTAGTAAACTCTGTTTCTTAGGGTACAGTACAGGACTCTTGACACTCCCCTCTATTGCTTGCTATAAACTGAGGATTTCTGGGAGTTGGAGGGGTTATATGAGGGTCCTTACAGCTCTGGTGTCCAATCACCTGATGATACCTGCATATTACCCTGTCATCTCTGAATCTGCCTGTGTCCTGTATTGTACTCCAAGAAACTGATTTTCCTGGTAAGGTATAAATCCTGTTTTTGTCTGGTAATGGTAATGCTTTTTAGAAAAAGAAAATTAAAGAAAATCATCCTTGATAGTCTTTCTGGATAGGCAATGTGTGATCTCTGGATATCTATCTCCACCAAATTGTGGTTGGATCAGAATTGGTTCTGAATTGTTTGCTCATTTGCAATGTCACACTATTAAAAGTAAGAAATCATTGGATCTACTAGCTGGATCATCAAGTCATAAAATTATGTTATAAGTATTAAAAACAATAACTGATGTATTCATGCTATTGGGAGACTGCTGCATGTATGTTATTTTTTATTTTGTGAAATTACCTAAAATTTAGGTATTTAGGTAAATATTTGAACTAGTAGTCAAAATGAGAACTTAACCCTTGCCTTGCAAGGGTACCGTAAGTCTTTTAAATTCCCGGAGTTGTTCTTTAATACATTTTTTTTTTCTTTAGAGTGTTCAGCTGAAATTTTAGAGCTTGTTTTACAGCTGGATAACAACATACAAATACTTTGATATTTAAGAGATCCAGGTCCGGGCTATTTAAAAGTTGCTAAATTAGTGGATAGTGCATAACTTCATATGCAGCTGAAGATATTGATCCGTAAATTTTGTAGTTAGAAAGTGAACCCCTTTTATTATTTGATATATATAGATGAATAGTAATACTCCCACAGGTGTTAAATATCTTCTGCTGATTTTTTAGGCATTTAGTAATCAAGCGTTATGTTTTACCCAAAATTAACTCACAAATAAAAAAAAATTCATTACGATTATATGAAAACGATGTTATTTTCCCATGAGTAATAGTGCTGGCAGACAAGTAATATCAGCTCTTTGTGTTCTTTACACACAGGATTTGCTGCAGGTACCAGCAGCATTAATATAGTCTCTGACTGTCTTCTACAGCATGTCTCCAGGCACTTCTCATACTCAAGAAAAATTTATATTTCCCATATATTGAGCTTCAACTACTTTAAGTCAATCTACATAGTTATAATAATATAAGACAGGATATTCTGATTCCTGCTTATGTCCAATTCCCTATTGGGGAAAAAAAGAAAAAAAAACCCATCCACTCCAATTCTTAGCTAAACCCCTTACAAGCTTACCTTTTTGCCCCTGCCTGCTCCCTTCTCTTCCACATTGTCCCCCGCAGTTGCAATGAATACCTGGTATGGGCAACAGTTGTACATTTAGTTGAAAACCTCTACCCCCCCCCCCCCCCCACTTCT